TCGTCTAACCATAGCCCGGAGCTTTATCTATGTAAAAAAAATTGGGGTGAAATGTTCTAAATTTGATTATCTTTGAATTTATCAAAGTAATTCAGTATGTTATATCAGGAATTACTGGTTCAAATTATTACTTTTTTCTTTTTATCTCAGGAAAACAATACAAAATTATGCCAGGCCCAGGATTCGAACCCACTAAGGCAGCGTTATTCAAATTCGAAGTGGCGGGTACCAGATAGTATTAAATAAAACGATAAAAATATTCAGACTGTCAAAATATTATATTAAAAATAATGTGTAATGTATTCTATTTCATTCTCTCGCCGACTTAATCCTATACATTTATGTGTTTGTTTCTTTATCGTGATGCGTTTTCGTTTCATCGAGTTTAAAATCACAACGGTTCTCGCAATATTGGTCATTATCAACGAAGGCTATATAACATCATTCTACAATCAATAGGAGCCAAACATTAATGAAAAATTTAACAAAAACGGGGATTTTTTATTCTTTTGCTCTCAAAAGAATAAAAAATCCCCGTTTTTGCTAAATAACCAACGCAGTTGCGTGGGTTATCTAGTATTATAAAATTTTAATATTGTATATAAATATATTTTTTAAGACAACTCCCGCACTCGGGATCTATCCTGTGTCGCGGGGGACTTTACAAACATACGCAAAGAACACCCAGACTCAGGACAACAATTTGTGGATCGCACAAAGTGCTGTCCCATGTGGGGATTGGACCTACAACATTCGACTCAGTAGAAAGCGACGAAGAGACCGCTTAAACCACTACGCCATCCGTGCTGTCCTTCTCATATTGTTTCCTATAGTTCCAATATAGGATCACAGTTAAAAGCTTAAGTTAGTATCTTCATAAGGTAATCCTAAAGTATGCGTGTCGTGACACGCATATGACCGGTTTTGCGATTTGCACCTCACCATTCAGGAAGTTGGTTGAAGTAATAGGCCCTCTTACTTCACTTTATGTAACAATAGTGCTGCTAATCTATAATTTATATATATATACATATACAGGGTTACTGGTTAAGTCGACCTAAATACTTAAAGGACATACAGTAATTTTTTTGTAACTGGCATAGTTATCGTGGAAATAAAATTGTAAGCAAAATAACTAAACTAAATTAAAAAGTATTATTTTGATATTACAAACAGACACTTCGATTTTAATTAACTTGGTTTTCAGTAATCTTATGTCCCACTTTCATTGTTAATATTTAATAACTTGATTATGTGATAAATGACACGGTTGAGCAGCATTTACTAATACTGTTAGTACAATATATGTTTGAATTCTCATAGCCACTTATGTTACATAAGTACCCATCGTAATATTATTATTTTGATGTAATTTTATTATTTGTATAAAGGCTGCCTTAGCTAGACCGCTCAGTCTGGCCAGGTAGGTAGTCATCATAGCGGAGTGGAGGGAACGACTCGGGCAACCGAGCGCCGGGCACGCCGTCATTGCGGCGGTAAGACCCGTTATGGAGGATTGGCTCGAGAGGCGTCACGGGACCCTCTCATACCGATTGACGCAGGTGATCACTGGGAAGGGATGTTTCGGAGATCACCTGTGTCTGATCCGCAAGGAGCCAACGCCTGAGTGCCACCACTGCGATGGCCAGACCGTGGACACGGCTCTCCACACGCTGGCAGAGTGCCCGGCGTGGGTTGAGCAGAGGCGAGACCTCGTGGCGGCCATCGGAGTGGGAGTTCTCTCGCTCGATAGCCTGATTGCGGCTATCGTGCGGAGCGAGAGTGCGTGGAACTCTGCCGTCTCCTTCTGCGAGCAAGTTATGCTCGCGAAGGAGACGGCGGAGCGGGACCGGGAGAGGTTTAGAACTCTCCCGGCCCGCCAGGCCCGGGCACGGGCCAGGCAGCGCAGGCGACTCAGGCGCCGGAGGTCGCAGAACGACCTCCGTCCTCCATAAGCGCAGGCCTGGGGGTGACAGGTGAGGCCATCTGTCACCCTAGCAGAAGCAGGCCGGGGTGGCGGCGAGCGCGTTGCGAAGCGCGCTCGCTTCCAGGGAGCACAGGGAACATGGGGTTCCCACACGGGGCGGGGGTCGTCTACTCGTCTGTAGATGACCCGAGGTATGTCGGGGCACCAGGGCCTTCCTTTCTAGGGTATACCTGGTTCCCCGGCTATTAGTACCCGGCGAAGACGTGCGGTTTTAGTCGGTTCGAGTCCGACATGCCACCGACAGGTGGTATCCGAGGGGATTTCCGCACGGAAAAAAAAAAAAAAAAAAAAAAAAAAAAAAAAAAAAAAAAAGGTAGGTAGCGATTAGAGCGAATGTTGCTAATACTGGTAGGCCAGTCCTAAATTTGCTGAATATTAACAAAAAACTGCAATACATACAATTTACTTTAAGTGAAGGCGTCGTAATCCGTGTGGTGACGGATTAAGAATACGGGGTGTCACAAACCCTGTTCATTTCGTGGGTGGCGTAAGACCCTACTAAGGGAGCAAACAACAGCACTGCAAAGAGAAGGAATACTTGACACAAACCCTATACCAAACCTTTGGGCCAACGTGGTATAGTAGGCCAAAACTTCAAATTCAAATTAAAGGCTGTTGATGTCGACAAAAGCGTTTTGAAAAGTGATTTTGTTTAACCCTGATCAGGCTCAAATCATAGTAACAAGAAGAGCAACTTAAAGTTACTTAAACTTTATTTTTAAAAATCTCCAAGAATTACATATAAAAATACAATTTGTTATATAAGTGGCATAGTATTGACATCACTAATCTTCTTATTAACCCTTCAACTGCTCTTAATGTTACCTAAAGATGTTTAATACAAGTAATGAGATAGGTATCATTTACATGATCTTAGTATATCTATTATGAGACATACATTTAATACCCCTATTAATGACAATTACAATTAATTAATGTGTGTATAGGATGTAAGTAAATACTGTATAGTATCCGGAATTCGGACTTTGGCCACATAATCTTCAAGAATGTTATAAATGTTATAAAATAAGATCGTTTGTTTGTCTTTTCCGTATTACCTGCGCAACCGATGGTCTGAATAATCTACAATAATTATCACATCTGTTGAAGCATACATAGACTAAAAAAAATTAGAACAAAACGTACTTTAGTAAAATAAAAGTACAAACAAGGACATTTAGGTACAGGTGTCTCAACAACAAAACGCAAATCTAAAGTAGATTATAATCACAGTATATTATCCTTGGTACAAAACATTATAATAACCCGGGGTCTAGGACAAGACCAACGAAATCAGTCGTTAACCGCTCGTAATTGATGTGTTGCCAAACCTCGGCACATTATGTAGTTGCAAGTTACGCAAAGTTAATATACTGTAACGGTATGACCTGCTTAGGTACACATTTTTAATAGTATCGAGATTATATTATGACTTCGATTGATATGGTTGTTATATTTAATTGTGGAATCACCGATTTGATTAAAATATAAGTCGGTATGAAATCGATACGAGGTGTATAATTTTGATTACATTTTTTTCTTTTAGCTGATGTCATAGTTGTTACCATAAACTTAATCAACTTGTCGGTAGTACTTGGTACTTAGTAGAAGGTATAATTGTTGTCTTAAAAGTAAAGAGACGTGGAACTCGTAGAAAGAATATAGTAGTGACAGTAAGTGACTTTTTTTCAATTCGAAATGCATTGCGCGGTAATCCCTTCTTTCCGTTTTCAAATTCCCTTTACTAGAGACGTAAGTCGTGGTTTTTAAGACACTGTGTAGGTACTTTTATTTTTTACTTTGGCGGAGTCAATATATTTTTTTTTAATAATAATTCGGCACATCTCCCACACTGCCGTCTAAACACAAACTAGGCAGAGCCTGTAAAATGGTAACTGAGTTCATGTTGACATACATAATATATTTTATATACACATATTATAGATAAATTACACCCAGACGCAGTACAATTGATCATACTCATTACACAATTATTCGTCCTGGGTGGAAATCGAACCCACGACCCCTGGGGTCGTGACCCGCTTAGCGGTCAGGACAGCTAGACCAACAGGCCAGTCAATCAAATATCACGGTTATTTTTAACAAGAAGTCTACATCGTAATGACGGACGCAGAGAATATAAGTAGTCTGTCTACTGATGTACAAACTTCTTACTATTCAGAATCTAACCTAATTTTGGTGGCATTTTAATACTATTGTCTCTGTTTCACCGTAACGTTTTTTTTACGCAGTTTACGTGTTTATTAAAATACTACCTTGCCCCTTGGTATACCAAAGGAAGAGGAAAGAAGTTTTTTAAAAAGAGGAGGTTCTCAATTCCACTGTATGTTTTTTGTGTTTGTTTCTCGTCAAAACTCAAACCTCCGTCATATATAAACTGATTCGAAAAATTCTTTTTTAATTTTAAGAGTCGCATTCAAATTAGAATAAAAAAATTCACCGCTAAGGGTAAATACTTTGAATGAAAAATACAGTTTAATCCAGTTCATCATTATGGAGGCGCAGTGATACTTTTGAAAAATTAGGGCGATCGAAGACGGTTTGGTATAATAATACAATACGATTAATTTAATTTTTCCATCTTAATTTTTATCTATTTTCATTCCTCCTGCTTTCTTAGAGGTTTAGTAAACCTCTCAAAACGATAATTCTGTGTGATTTATCATATCTACATCATCAAATATGAATTTAAATGTTACGTGTACAATTTGAAAATTGAGATCAAAATAATTACCAATGAAAACTGTCAAAGGAGTCAGTATCGTTATTTTAGAGTTATATTTGCTAACATTTTAGTCATTAGGTTACATAAAGGTTAAACGGTCAATGGTCGCAGTTAAGCAATGGCACAACTCCCAAGGCTTAATTTAAACAAGCTGTCATAAGGAGTTGATCTTTCTAAGTAATACTTATTTGAGAGTTATAATTTTATTGAATTTTATATCCCTGGAAATAGATTAGATGGTAATCACAATTTCAAAATATGACTTACCAGTGCAAGTGCGCTCTCCGGGTACCACTTGCATGGTCGCAGGAAGATCGTGAGAAGTTCATCATCATCTCCAAAGTGCAGATCCTTGGTTTCTTTCAACAACTCTCTTAGTCTCTCGAGAGCCTCTCTTACTCTCTCCGGCGTCTCCCTCAGCTCTTTTTCAGCTAACTCTTTTGTCTCAGGCGACAGCTCCAGGCTGCGCTCTAATTTGAAATCGTTGGAACTCATTTTGTATCTGGAAAGAGAGTAACCTTAGAATATGTGGTTAGCAGAAACACATACACTTGCTTGACACACGCTTGATACTGCCGTAAAATACCTACGCCTCTACAGAATAATAAGTTAATCAACAAGATAAAACTTGCTGATTTATTCTCAATAAGCATCGTATACGTCAAGTGGAGCCAGTTGACATGACACTGGCCGCAAGGCAAGGACTTGTTGTGGATTCCAAGCACGGTGCGCCGGCGCACGTGTCACCGACGCAACGTTTAAATACACATCATTACGTTCGAGATCGATTGCACACATTTTTATCGATCGCTAGTGATTGCCAAAATAATTTGCCGCAATATGTAACACATGTCAATGACTCTTAATTTCGATTACATGTCAATTAATAGCTAAGAGTTTTTTGCATTCGATTGTTAAACCCATTTCAAAAAAGGAAAACTTTCTTAATTCGATTGTATTTTTTTATGTTTGTAACCACAATATCCCGTTAATTGTGAACTGATTTAGAAAATCCTTACTACCATAGAGTTGGTATAAGGTAACAAGGGCTAGAATAAACTGGAACGCAATGCCTGAATGGCACCATTTGTGTTGCCAAAACATAGACTGTGTCTATTATGTACACGCCCATACAACTCACTCAATTCCAAAAATTATGATCGCTGGTTATGAAAATCAAAATGACAAGTTAAACCTCCTGTAGTGGTAGTCTTGTATCTAAACATAGCTGGACTGAGCTGGACCGAATGCTTGTATACCGATTTATTGTAAAAAAAAGTGTGCTTACTTTTAGATTCATTGATTGCAGATCCTCCAAATGTGTCATTTGTTACTTATAACATACAACACGGTATATAAAAATTGACAAAATTAATTTATAGAACAAGGATTTATTTATAAGAACTATATGTGTTGTTTACAATAAACAAAAGTAACTTTTATTTAATGTTTTGCCATTTACTAAAAAGAAAAATAATTGACCCCAAATTTGTATTTATTTTTATGCTAAGACATAATGTTCAGAAGATTTCAATAATAAGCGATAACAACTACGTATTTAGGTACCTCAGTTAGTAATGATTTCACGAAATACTTGAAAAGTGATTGAAATATAAAGAGCTGAATAAATGCTGTTTATCAAATCATTTTTATCTACAGTTCAATTAACTGAACACAAGCTGATTTTAGAATTGCTTACTAAACAATTTAGTTGTAAATAAGTGTCTACTTATACGTCTAGTCTGATTACGCAAAATAATGCTGTTGGTCGTTTATTTCTCAACCCTTTGTCAGCGGTTTTTTTGCTTTTGAAAGAGAAAACAAAAGAATAAATTATACAAAATAAATAAAAAACAATTAGAATAGTTAATTAGATATTGTACGTACAAATACATTTGCACATATTTAACTCTCTGCATTTATTACTTACATTAGATACGTTAGTAACATAATACTTTAGTACAACACATTATGATGATTTGGTATTTTATCATCCATCCGTAAATTATACAAATTTTATTAACATTATCATAACATTATAATCATCATAGTGTTACATATTAAATATATTTATATTTCCACAGTAACACAATGATTTTGAGTTGTAATAGCCTAGTTAGATAATATTTACTTTGAGACAAAAGTAATGTGATCGATATCGTACAACTGAGGTGATGTAGCAAAACTTTTTAATCGATATTTTTAGGAGCTTAATTGATATAATTATTTTGGGATTATTAGTTATTACTATATTACTATCAGTATATATAAAATATAGTACTTTAATTTTTTTTATTAAATAGGGGTTTATTTGTAAATAATTAACTTATACCTTACCTAACCTTACCAACAAGGGAAAGTAAAAAAATCACAAAGGAAATAAATTAAATATTCGTGTGTTTTTATTCACAACATCAATCAATACACAGACACAACACAGTTCCACACAATTTAAAACCTTTATCCTAGTTCACTAAAATGTGTAAAAAACTGAATTACCGTGAAAATGCACTAACCTCACTCGCGTAGCACACGCGTCGGTGGAAATCACAAAGGGCGGAAAATCGATCGTGCGGCGAATGAGAGGCGTGAACGAATGTGCGCGCGCGCACTTCGCCACCGGTTTTATAGACACGATAAGGCGCACACGCTTACTTTGTTGCTTGCGGTGATAGTAATCCCCAACCGCTTGGTTGCAACGCCTCCTCACTTACACTTAACGTTCAAGCTTTTTGAAAATAACGTATTGCCTGAGGGACCGCTCTCCTACTCTACCCTACCCTTATAATAATATTTTAAATTGTTTCTGATGAAATATCAAATTAGTCACTACAACCACACTAACAAGAGATTTGGGGTAGTGCGGATCTTGGCTGTGGCCAAACTCAACAGCATAAATTTGAAGTTAGACTACTCGTATAACTTAGATAACTGTCTACTGAAAGTTATCTTTTTTTTAAAGATAACTCCCGCATTAGGAATATATCCTGTGTCGAGGGGGGCTTTACAAACATGCATGAAACGGACACAAAGAACACCCAGACTCAGAACAAAAATTTGTGGATCAGACAAAGTGTCGTCCCATGTGGGGATCGAACCCACAACACTCAGCGTAGTAGTAGGTGGCGTGGCGACCGCTTAAACCACTACGCCATCCGTGTAGTCAAACAAGTTTAGTATTTGTTGAGGAGTATACAAATATTTTAACACAGTCGTCCCTGGTGTAAGTGGGTTTATAAGTACGAACTCAATATATCTCAAGCAATTTAGGTAGAGAGAAATGCTTCATAGATTAAAGGAAGCATTTCCTTCTGTAGACATTACTTACAACCTGTAAGTAACGTCAACAATTCTTAAATAAATTACAAATAGCTACGTTCCCGTAAATGCAGAAACGATTTATCAATTTATGTATTTGTAATTTATGTTGTTGTAATATTGTAGAGGCAAAAATAACAAACTCGACGAGTTTGTATATCGCAATAGTCAAAATGTGCCTACTACATTAATTTTAAGCCAAGGCGTATAACAAAACGAAATTCATTCCTTACTGTTTTGTAAACTTAGTACTAAACGAGTTAGAGAAACTAAGTTTTCAGAGCGAGCCCTCGGAAACATCGGAAAACCCTCAAATTCAACTAGCATTGCGTATATAAAAATGTTAGGTTAGTTTGTGTATGCTGCAAAACCCTCAAAAAGTTCTACACCGATTCAGGTCAAATTTTGACATGATATACAACAGGATTCAAAGATGGTTTTATCTATTTTTCTCGTAACTTATGTTCCTCTATTCTGATCAATGCAACCACAAAGTGTCACAGCGAAGCGTTATTATATACATAACAAAACAACATTTACACATATCTCAATAAGATGTGCAGTGCTACTACTCATCGCTTGCTCTTCGTGATCAGCTGTTAGTAAAACATCCGAGGAGAATACATTTTCATTCGCAAATTTATAGAACCATTTTCGCACGATCTGGCTGCTATCAGGGCACGATTTTTTTATTACACACACGACATTTTAATTACAACTATACACATAAAAGACTATATATAACCAATTTCATCATTAAAGCAAACCATGAATAAAATTTATCAATTCATGTCTAACAGCCGCTGAGAAGTTTGTACAGACAAGAATTGTGTATAGCCAGCGCAAATAGAAAATAGGTTTATTATACGCAACAAAAAGGATTATAAAACTTTGACATATCATAGATATTTAAAAATACTATTTTATTATTTAAATAGAAATGAATCATAAGACCTTTCGCATAATTTTCAAGCGGCTTAATAAACATGTTTTGTTTGCTTAAAAGTTTATAAGAAACTGATTGAATATATAATTATGTAAACAGAATTTTATTTTGCACACTAGAAGCCATTACAAAAGCAAATACAAGCACCTGTAGTATGTTTACGTCACTAGATCTCCCCTTTTATCTGATCTTTCACCTTAACACATGTTGTAATATATGTTACGAAATACAATAAAATTATGCTTTAACTATACAAATGTTACTTGTTTCGTTCTCACATAAAATAGAAATGGTTTGTATTCAGAAAAACTACATTTAACAATACATCTTACATCACTTACTCTGTTATTAATAACATATTGTAAAAATTACTGTTTATTTTATTGAGTTTTTGGACACTATTTATATTACAAACATCATAAACACTGACAACCGATGCAAATGTGGGTACATATCAGTAGAAGACAGTACGAGTACTACTCGTATCCACCCTCTTCTGTAACTTATTCTTTGCGCATTGTGCAACTTATAACGCGGACCTGTCACCCGACTAGAAAATATTATTGCATAATTAATACGAATAGAGCAAAAAAAATTCAATACCGCTGTACAGGCAATTTTAAGTTATTGATATCTTATTACATTAAAACGAATAACAAAATATTTCGTAATCGTTTTGCAACTGAATGTGAATACACTGTTAAGTGCCTCAAAACTATGCCGGTTTATTATTAATTTTTACAGATATTTATATGATATACAATTTTTTCTGACCTAAATTATATGACAAAACTTACTGTTTTGCTGAAAAACGCGAAAAACCTATTTCTGAGACCTTTGACCTTGAATATAAAAAAACCAGTTACGGGATCGATGGCGACTTTTCAGCATTCATTTATAATGGTGTTCCGAACATTCATGCGAATTATTGTATCATTGCATGTCTAAATTTCACCAATACTTTCTCATTCAAAACTAAAGTGAGGCAGTTTTTTGTAAAAGAACTGGCAGAATCAACTGACGTATGATTGTCATCTACTATTATTAATGGTATTTATTTAGGTATGTATGTATTTATGTAAGTTTATATGTATTTAAGTATATGTATGAACGTATGTATAATGTATATGGGTTCTAGTGTATGATAGGTACGCGTATTTGATATTATAACTACAAAACAAACTTTAACCAAAATGCACCCACTTCCTGTGCTCTTTGCATCACCCAAAGGTTGACTGGTAGAGAATGCCTTAGGCAGTAAGTCCGCCAATGCACCAAAAGTGCATGATGTATAAATAAATTGACCGAACTAATAGATAAACTGAAAATTCGTATAATTTTCGAATATGAGTTCCTACGTGGAAATACTGAGCAAACAACACGAAACATTGACGACGTGTATGGGTCTAACACTACTTGCATAAACATGGTCCCTTATTAGTTAAATCATTTTAAATCTGGAAAGGAGTTAAAAAATGAGCGTCGCGGTCGGCCGTTAACTATAGTCGAAAACGACGAATTGAAGGCGATAGTAGAAGCGGATCCAACTCAATCTACGGTTGAGCTTGCTGCGGGCTTTAGAGTTAGTGTCAAAACAACATTGCAGCACTTGCGTCAAATTGAAAAGATAAAAAGCTAGATAAGTGGGTGCTACAGAAACTAAGCGACCATCAGCATGACTTAAACGTCGGAGCATGCATAGCACTACTGAATCGGCATAGTAACGAGAGAATGCTAAATCGAACTGTTATCTACTATGAAAAGCCGAACCTGTACGACAACCGCGAGCATTCGTCTCAGTGGGTGGACCTGAGTACAGCAGATAATCAGTGAGCTAAAAAAGATTATAGGAAGATGATGGTGACTGTCTGGTGGACCAGTGCCGGACTTTTACATCACAGGTTCTTACCGAAAGGCACAACAGTGACGGCAAATGCCTATTATGAAGAATTACAGCTTGCATTTCAACAACCGCGACTGGTCAATCGCTCTTCTTCATTGCTTCTCCACGACAACGCGCGAGCTCACACTTCACGACAGCTCATCGCAAAGCTACAGCGCAGAGCTACAGCTGAAAGCTCCCCGTCACCCACCGTAGTCACTGGACTGGATATATATTTTTGTATAGATCATTTGGGTCAGTACTTTGATTAGCTAAAATAAAAAAATAACCAAAAATTTTACATTTTAATATTTTCATACAAATCTCCAGCTTCAAAAGGTTGTAAAAGTCCCTATGTCCATTCAATTTGCTTTTTAATTCTTTTCAGAGGGGATGGTGCTTACATAATCGGAAACCGCATATTTGGATTAGGAGCTCTCTTCTGCTCCTTCGATCATTAGATCGAAGACGAAGAAGAGTACCAATATAGATATTGCACATATTTGCACATGGCCAAGCTCATGGGTTGAGCAGAGGCCAGACCTCGTGGCGGCCATCGGAGTGGGAGTTCTCTCGCTCGATAGCCTGATTGCGGCTACCGGGAGAGGTTTAGAACTCTCCCGGCCCGCCAGGCCTGGGAACGGGCTAGGTACCGCAGGCGACTCAGGCGCCGGAGGTCGCAGAACGACCTCCGTCCTCCATAAGCGCAGGCCTGGGGGTGACAGGTGAGGCCATCTGTCACCCTAGCAGAAGCAGGCCGGGGTGGCGGAGAGCGCGTTGCTAAGCGCGCTCGCTTCCAGGGAGCAGAGGGAACATGGGGTTCCCACAGGGGGGGGGGTCGTCTACTCGTCTGTAGATGGCCCGAGGTACGTCGGGGCACCAGGGACTTCCTTTCTAGGGTATACCTGGTCCCCCGGCTATTAGTACCCGAGACCGCGTGCGGTTTTAGTCGGTTCGAGTCCGACATGCCACCGATAGGTGGTATCTGAGGGGATTTAGGCACGGAAAAAAAACAAAATAAAAAAAAACAGCTGGACAACTGGCAACAAACTCTTCAAAGGCATTTTGTACTGCCTCTCGGGAATTGAATTTTTTACCCACTAAAAAGTTGTCTAAAAAGTTGTAAAAAGTAATAGTCGGTAGGTGCAAGGTCTGGTGAGTATGGCGGATGAGGGAGAGCTTCCAACCCCAGCTCTTGAAGCTTGGAGACTGTCTGTTGCGCAGTATGGGGTCGCGCGTTGTCGTGAAGGAGCAGCGGGGACGACCGATTGACCATAGCTGGTTGCAGATGTGACCACCAGACCTTGCCTACCGACTATTACTTTTTCCAAAATTTAGTCAACTTTTTAGTGGGTAAAAAATTCAATTCCCGAAAGGCCTTTGAAGAGTTTGTTGCCTCCCGTCCAGCTGGTTTTTACAAGAAGGGCATCAATAAACTGCCAATGCGTTGGCAAAGATGCGTCGATTGCATGGGTGATTACTTCGAATAGCAGAAATAAAAAAGTTTGAAAAAATAAGTACTTTCACTTATTGCATACAAAAGGGCAATTTCATAGGACCTATTATAAATTCACGCAAATGAAGCCACGGGCAAAAAGTAGCTTTAAAAATCAACTTAACTCGTATTCGAAACTAGAATAAAATTATTTTCAATGTTTCTATTATTTCTTTTGTTTAATGTTAATTTTGTCCATTCAAAGGTTGTTTGGTGGCCATTGGTCAATATTTTTTTGTGTAATTTTTATGAGTAATATACTGTTTTTTTTTAATTCTAACGGAGGAAAATTCTCATGGATGTTTTCCACTGTGCTGTAAGACGTTTCTTTTTGCCAAATTTCGTGATTCTAGGTCAACGGGAACTACCATATAGGTTTTCGACCCAAAACCTATAGGGTGCTTCCGGTTGACCTAGAATTGTCAATTTTGGTTAAAAGCAAGGTCTTACAGCACAAGTAAAGAGAAAATTCTGAAAAAAAAAGTTGAAAATTAAGGTAAATTTTGGTACTCACAAGTTTATTGCCCATATCTTTTTATCGACCTTGATTTTTATACACCTAATAGGGACCATAAACCTCAGTATCTGGTGTAAATTTCAACTTGCTAGGTCTACCCGTTCCTGAGAAAATCAGTGGTGACACACGGACAGACGGACAAGAAAGTGATCTTATAAGGGTTCCTTTTTTACCTTTTGAGGTACGGAACCCTAAAAACTGATGGTACTTAGTCTATTTTGAATAAATTACTTTGATTTTGATTCTCTGCTTGCCTATAATCGGAGGAGAGAGAATCACCATTGCATTCTTTCTTCTTGAAACCCTGACAACCGTCTCACTCAAGTCAAATCCTGTCACCAATTAATCTTTTTAACGTTTAACAAAGTTTCTTTTATGAAAGAAGTTATTGGATTTTCTATATTCTTTTGACATAGGTCCTACTTAAAAATAAGAATCGTGTCGAGTGATTCTGTCATGT